ATGAGGTGGGCAGTACATGGGAGGAGCCTTATGCGCATCATAGGCTTTGCATCCGCCATCTTGCATCAAATGTGCACACACATTTCAAAGACATTCATTTAAAAAATCTTTTTTGTGTGGACCGCACGGCAACATCAGAAAAAAAAATTTGATGGTGGCCTCAACTCTCAAGAAGATAGGTGAAATGTGTAGGGATGCACGCCAATTTTTGGCCAACATTCCTCCAGAAATGTGGTCGCTGCACCACGATGGCGGGTACAGATACGGTACCATCACTTCAAATCTAGCTGAGGTTTTCAATAGCGTCATGAAAAATGCTAGATATTTGCCCATTACCGCGTTGGTCCAGGTGTCTTTTTACCGGGTTAATGCCTACTTTGTGCATAGGCGTGAAACCAGTAAATTGAGGCTCACACAAGGCCACGAGTACTCCCCACACATCACAGATTTAATTGAAAAAAATAAAGAGAAGGCAAAGCATCACATTGTCACTCCATTTGATTTAGGGAGAGGTATATTTCAGGTGGAAACCGGTTGTGGTGGCCGAACGTTGGGAAAGGGTGGGAGAAAACAAACTGTCCACATACAACGGAAAACTTGCACTTGTAAAAAGATGCAGATATACAAGATTCCATGCTCTCATGTATTAGCCGTGTGTAGACAACGTAGTTTGTCTTATGCTCCTTTTGTGGATAAGTTCTTCTCATCTGACCAATACGCCGCCACATATCATAGGGTTTTCAAACCGATTCCTGATCGTGATTATTGGCCAAATTACAATGGACCCGAAATCGTGCACGATCCATCCATGCTTCGGGCAAAGGGAAGACCAAAGTCGACCCGTATTAAGAATGAGATGGATGAAGGTCCACGAGGAACGGTTAGATGTGGAAAATGCCACCAAACCGGCCATAATAGAGCGACATGTGCGAAAAGATCGTCTAGACAAGAGGGGGGGGGTCCGCCGGGTAAGGTTCTATTTAGAGTCAATCATAAATCATGTTTTCCTTGCAAGGAAACTTAATAATTTCAAAAAGGAATGTTAAAAAAAAAGTAATACATTATACAATTAGAACTAATACAAATTTTATTTGTTTGTAGGCATGGAGGTGATAGCGGATCCTGGGCCGAGTGATCGTTCTGTCCTGACATTGCAGGCCTCGCACAGGAGTGAGGATGTTTGGCTTGGCATGGATGTCCAGGTTGATAGGTGCCGCGAGCACCTGCGGGGTTTGTCCCATTTACATGTCGACCCCAGAGTCCTAGCCTATGTTCGTGCTGCTGGTTTTTTTACACTGCACAGATTAGTGGCTACTGTGCCTCTTGATAGATCCCTTCTCACTGCTCTACTTGAGCGTTGGAGGCAGGAGACACACTCTTTTCACCTCCCTGTTGGTGAGGTGACTGTGACATTGGGAGATGTGGCTGTACTCACCAGGTTAGAGGTTCATGGGAGAGCTGTTACAGGCACTGCTTGTCGACAGTGGGTTGATGAGTGTGAGCGGTTGTTAGGTATCCGCCCCGTTCTTAGGACTGACCTTCAGGGGTCATCTCTTAGGATGCCGTGGTTGAGGGAGCACTTCCAGGTCCTTCCTCCCGACGCTGATGAGGTGATCATCCAGCAGCATGCTCGGGCGTATATATTGATGATGATGGGAGCCTCCATTTTCGCTGACAAGAGCGGAAATGAGGTTCAGGTGCTACACTTGCCTTTGCTGGAGAGGTTTGATGTAGCAGCACAGTTCAGCTGGGGTAGTGCCACCCTGGCTTATCTATACAGGCAGCTGTGTCGCGGCTGCCAGAGAGGGAGTACAGAGCTGGGGGGATTTTTGCTACTCCTCCAGATTTGGATGGACAGCCACTGCCTGATGAGCCTCCACGTCTGCTAGGACCACATCATGTACGGGGCGAGGACCCTCTAGGCCGTCGGTATGTTTTCAATCGTTTGTATTTATGTGAGTATTTGTTGAATGTTAATAAATTAATAATATCCATATTATTGATATTGTTACATGAATGGTTAGGTGGCTATATGCTGGTCTATCTCGCATGTCATCCGCTACTGGGCTTGGTGTCTACAGGGATGCATTGGATCGGATGTCTGAGGACCAGGTATGGTGTATGTAGTATAACATTAACTAGAATAGGTGTAGAATAAATACTAATTTTGTATGTTTATGAAACAGATCACATGGATGCCGTTTAGACCTGATATGTTAGCAGAGTTGCCCCCAGCTGGACGAGAGCATACTCACATCTGGCGAGCACGTGTCCCGTTGATATGTTTTGACATTGTTGAGCTGCATTTGCCTGATAGAGTCATGCGACAGTTTGGGTTTGAGCAGGTCGTTCCACGTCCTATCGACACTTATGTAGAGCTGCATAAGCTGGATAGGCGTGGGAAGCATACAGAGGATTGGGCACTCAGACATGTTCGATACGTGACTATGTGGGAAAGGAGAGCTGAGCTAGCTGTGGTTGGGACACCCACATATGTGCCATCTGTTTCAGGAGACTACATGGGATGGTACTACAGCATCACTCGATTATTTGTGTCTCCTTCGTTCAGACTCCCTACTCATCATTATCAGCCTAGCTCCTTGGCTTTGCATCTTACGGTGAGTATATTAGTAATTAGTAAAGTAAGTCATTTTATTTATGTAATACTTGTATGTATTTGAATGTAATTGTAATTGTGTTTCATATTTCAGACACGAGCTTTGCAGCGCATACATCAGCGGGCTACTGCCACTGTGACTGATATTCCTGATGTGGACATGTATGGACAGGCTCTGACAGGCATTGCCTCGTTGTGCTCAGATGTGTTGGGCCGAGTAGACTACGGACATCTTATACACATGCCCCCATCTCAGGAGATGGCATCCACGTCTAGTGCAGCCGCAGCTTCATCATCCCAGACGCAACATGAGAGAGTGGTTCTTCAACCACGACAACGCCGTAGGCGTAGACATGAGCAGCAACATCTCCATGACGAAGCTGACGATGGGAACTTGTAGTCTGTCTTTTGTATTGTAGTTTTTCTTATGCAGTAGATGTTGTAGGAACAATTTACAACATTTGACGTATTTTATCTTGTAAAGTCTTGTATGTTGTCTTGATGTGTTCGAGTCTGAATATTAGATGATTACTTGTTATGAATATTGAATGATTGTACTTTGTTATACCGGTTATTTTGAAGGTGTTTTTTATGTTGTTGAGAGGGGGTGTTATGTATGTGATTGAGAATACGTGTGTTGTATGTTTAATAATATGTTTTATAATGTGTTGTATCTGGCTCGTAACACTTAAACAGGAGAAGAGAGACCTTATTTATAGCAAATAGATGAGTCCGGGTTGAATTGCGGCGAAAAATCTGCTCAAATACTGTTTTTGGACCTAGGCACGATCGTGCGTCCCAGGGGACGCACGATCGTGCGTGGCTGGCAGTAGTTGCTCGCCTTCAGCCATATTTCAGGGTAAGTCGCCCAACCGTTGGGCGACTTACCCCTGACCGTGGTTAAGGGCCAGCAGTATTTTGGTAAATACTTTTTTTCCAGCATTATTTTCGTAATTAATTAATTAATTAACATTAATTAGGAAAAAACTCACCATCTTCATGCTTCAACATAAGTCAGATGACTGCATTATCATAGTACGCAACTATTTTATCAGTTAATTTTGTAATTAAGGGCCGGTTGTAAGGAAATATTTGTTGTCTGTATAGACAAATGAAATAAAGAGTATGTACAAGAAGTGTATAAAACACGTTTTTATTTTTCTGATTTTTTAACACTTATCAACAATTCATATAAATTTGTAGAGACAATTTTTACGCAGAAATTAAAGAGTGTTTGACTGATAAGTGTATGTTTGTAACAAATTTCATTCCATAAAGCGTATTTTGTTTTGTTTTTCTGAGATAGCGTAGAACGGAGGTGCCAGGTCCGAAAATGCACACACACAAACACATGTTTTGGATCAAATAAAAACCACTCTTAACGTGAAAACTGCAAACTGTTCACTTGTTCCCCAACCTGATGTTGTTTAAAGGTGATCTGTTGCACTTTTTGAACATTGAAAAAGTCAAACATTTTCTGTCGATGTGAAAAAGTGCAACAGAGAGACTTTATAGTGCATCCTACATACTCGGTATATGGTTTAGTTCAAACGATAAGACATTAATTAACGTGTAAAAGTAGAATTAACCTGAGTCGTCCAAATTGTCGATCTAATGCACAATAACTCTTATCTAATGCAATTTCGAATAAACCTTATCTGATGCACTTTTCAAAAAGTGCATCAGATAAGGCTTATTCGAAAAGTGAAACACATAGGGGTTTATTGTGCATCGAATTAATTTTTTGGACGGATGAGATTAATTCTTAATTTACACGTTAAGAGTTTTTGTTATGAGATTAACGTTTCGCCTTGTTAGAATGCCGCCAGTAAAACACCAATTGGAAATGGGTGGTTCCCGTACACTTATGCAAATTGTGGTTGATATTTATTTTATTTTATATGATTTTTTGTATTTTTTATTTTGAAAGGAATTGTTTGTATATATTTGTTATAAATCATAAGTTAATCAACATGAATAAAAAATATACAATATTGTCATTTAAATTGAATAGGCGTTGGATACCCCGGAATTTTGATCAAGAATACGCCTTTTACAAAACTAAAATTGATCCATTCAATTAAATAAACACACACTACAAAATTGACTCATTAAATCTTCTTAACCCGAATATTGACAATCTTCTTATAATATTAAAGTTACATTTAAAAATACCACACATTTTAATAAAACCTTATCCATTAAATAAAGTGAACCCAAAAAATAAAAAAACACAAATAAAAGTATAAATACATTTAAGCAAGTTTTAAAAATACTTGACCCACTCAGTGTTATTAACTCAAATGCAATTAGAAATACACTTTACAATATCACGCATTCAAACAAAATTTGACCCATTAAGTCATATGAACTCAAAATTAAACAAAGTTTATATCATATTAAGGGTATATTTAAAACACATGACTAATAAAAGTGTTACAACATTAAAACAAACTACAAACAAAAGAAATAATACACTACTACAAAGTACAAATATGAATCAATCATGTTGTGTTCTACGTCTTTAACACATATCCATCTCATTTGGAAATCTTGTTTCTTGACGGCGTCCTACTCGAGAAGTTCTGGATATTTGAGCGGTAGAAGAATGAACTCATTTTGTGGCCACTCATTCATATTTGGCAATGACATAATATCACTGCAATGTGCATTTATTTAAGAACTCAGTTTGTATACCTCAGGAATAAGTTCATCAATAGAGCACTTAAGAAAATGGCAGACATCATGTGCATGGACGCATGACATGCCGTTCATCCTCCTACAACCGCAATCACAAGCACGTCTCAATAGATGCACCGTAACATGTGTTTCATTTTCTACGGCGACTGAGTAAAATCTTGTGTAGTGATTGTGTGGAAGAACTATAGTGTGTGGTCTTTGGTGCCAACGCTCCATAATCTTTTTTCTAAATGTTGTCCGGAAAATGCTTGCTGCCACATCATACCAACACTACAACATTGTGCAAAGAGCTGAACTAGTTTGTCAGAAGTCGTTCGTACAAGGGCAGTGGTTGGCAATGTCCTACATCCTTTAAGAGTATTGTTCAAACTTTCTAAAAGATTTGTCGTTAAAATACCATAACGACAACCATCATCAAAACAAAGTGTCCACTTTCTTGGGGAATGTCATTTAAATACTTGAATGCTCTCTCGTTAGTACTTCGAATTTGTTGCATGAAATGGTGAAATTCACTTACAATTGGGGTATTTCCCACTCGCCAACACAACTTCTTTAGTTGTTTACTTCTAAATTGGGACATGAAACTGCTTCTAATGTGGTGAAGACAATAACATATCTGAATTCACGGTGTTCCCAATTTTGTCACCTTTTGAAGTGCATAATCTATAGCAGCATGCTGATCGGAGATGATGCAAACATTCCGATGCGGCCCTATGATTTGTGTCACAAGCAATTGTAAGAACCACGTCCAACTAAAAGCATTCTCACTGTCTACCACACCAAATACTAGAGGGTAGATTTCACAGTTGGCATTCATTGCCACCGCGACTAGGAGATGACCATTGTACTTGTCGTACAAGTGAGTCCCATCAATGGACACCACCAGAAGGCAGTGATTGAACCCATCAATTGCCGCTTTTATTCACCGAAATGCAAATTTATATTCATATGTACCTTGGGTGTTGGTTTTATCACTTTGAATATCAATTATGCTCCCTGGATTAGTATTCGCCATTACTTGTAAGACTTTTTGGAGATCATTGTATGATGTCTCCCAGTTGCCGAACCGTTTCTCCGGTACAAATTTACGAGCATACCACGCTTTCTTATATCCAACATGAATGTTATATTTGTGCTATATGTCATGGATTTCTTAGCTTAATGTTATACTCTGATTTTATGCGAATCGTAGAATTGATTTCAGAAGCGATGACCTATGACACCGAAATGCGGTTATGGTGGGGTTGATACTTCTTTACTTTCCACGAGTTTGTATTCTTCACTTGTGAAACTTGAATGTGCCATGAACATACCTCGTCATGGATGCATTTCGCCCTCCAGTATTTAACATGTTTTGCTTCACTCCAGAATGCTCAGAATTATTTCAAGTTTTGAATAAAGGCTACTTCTTTTAGTTTGTCATTAGAATCATATTTCCCACTTTTATTGGGTGTACCACACGATATGCGGGTTCCACAAACGGATCCTCTTGGTTATGTGGGACAACCAAGATGAGTCACAACTATCATCACTATCTTCGGAAGTGCTTTCCTCTTCCAAAAATGAAAGATAGTTGTAGTCGGGGTCATCTTAATTCTCCACGTCCTCATGTGGTGGCTCCATATATTAACCATCGAAGGACCTTGGTTTGATGCTAATGGCTCCCGGTTGCGCCGCCGCCTATAAGGGACTTCATGCAATGGAATAACCACATCCGTATTGTTTGCATCAATGAATAGCTCCAATCGGTCATACATGTTCAAAGCTATTTGCACAAAATAGATCCACGACTGTTCATCGTGTATGGGCCACGACATTGATGCAACACACACCATCTCTAGTATCAAAATGAAATTTTCCATGAATGATTTTTATTTCATTTAAACCACCACGAGAAATCTCAGTTATAATACGCTCACATAATGTTGTGTAGCTAATATCGACATTTAAAAAAAGTACCGCATTTGGAAATGAAGAGTATTTGACTTTGTTGTCAACATTGGTCAATACTCCATTCCAATGAACAAGAACAATTATTTTCTTCTCACTTGACATTCTTACTTGTGTAGTGAGTGATAGAAATGTGAGTTGTAAGTGATATAAATGATACTACCTCCGTAACACTAGAATCTTCCCAGTTTGACTCTTTTGGGTCAAACTTTATGAACTTTGACCATTAATTATTCAAAACTCACATTATGTTATGATTAAAAATTTATTTTATATAACTCATTGTAAAACATATTATTTGAATGTTAATTTATTATGAATTTTATAAATATAGATATGTAGATATTTGCAGTCAAAGTTCAACTTAGAAGACCGTGAAAAGTCAAAATGGGAAGATCTTTATGTTACGGAGGGAGTAGATGTGAGTGATAAGAATTACTGTGTGAAGTGTTGCTTTTATAGTGAGTGTTAAAGGTGGGTAAAATAAATGTTTTTGTTTGGTAGATGAGGTGGTTGAAAATAAGAGGTTAGTTTTAGAGATATTTTATCTGACCGGGAATATTTTTATCTGATAAAGTCTTTATATTTGACTAGAGACCTTATTGAGGTGGTTGAAAATAATGATGTTAGATACGGAGTAGGTGAGTATGTATTCCAGAAATTTGATCTGACCCGAAATATTTTATCTGATAAAGTCTTTTTTTTATCTGACTAGAGAAATTATCGTGGTGATTGAAAATAATGAGGTTAGTTGCGGAGTAGGTGAGTGATGTTTAATTTATTAAATTGTATTGTAGTTGCTTTGTGAATGAATTTATTTCCTATAATGGAAATGAGCAGGGGCGGACCCAGGAAATTGATATTGGGGGGGCGATAATTTAAACAAAAAAAATCTAGGCAATTATTATTATAAGTTATAACCTTAATATAATACGGAGTAGTAATTAAATGAAGCATTATAATAGAAGAAGAGACAAATATATTATTACAAAATAGTTAAAGTTAGTACCTTAGAATTGTACCCAACGCTTCTTCAACGAGATAAATTCCTCAATCACGGCTTTTTAGTCAAAAGTTTTAGCAATTTCTCTTTCAATATAAACAATAAGCTTGTCTGCAACATACTCATCCTCCATTTTATTGCGAAGCCTTGTTTTTATAATTTTCATTGCGGAAAAAGTTCTTTCGGTTGTTGCTGTCGAAACCGGTAGAGTCAACAAAAGTCGGATCAATTTATCAACAAGCTAAGAAAGTACACTTTTGACATCCCCGTCTCCGCTAATCTTTGACAAAGTTCACCCATTGTAGAAAAATTCGCCAACTTTGGATGGTTTAGAACATTGAGCTTATAATGTTGCAATTGAAACCTCAAGCTCACCTTCTCCTGCTCAATAAAATCAAAGGGGTAATATTTATCCAGTAAAGAACAGATATCATCAATGTTAAAAGACTTATATGAGTCCTTAGGATCCAAAGCACCACTAAGAGCAAGAAGATCCATTATCTGTTCACCGAATTTGCTATTCAGCTCCAACAATTATGAATATATGGCTGCGTAAAACATATCAACCCGATAGTGACGTTCAATATCAAACCCTTCTTGATCATGGCGTTTGCGTTTTACCGCATAAGGAGACTTCATATTAGGAACTTCAATTTCATGCTTTGTGCAAAACTCTTTAACAATTTCTAAGAAGTTATCCCATCCACCCTTAACTTTTGGATCAACATTTTGGTACTTGACACCAAATGCATAACATTTACTATGTCTTGGCACTTCTTCTGTTTCAAGCTCACCAATTTCCAACATTCTTGCAATTTCAAGTGTTTGAGCTTCCTTTAATTCATCACTTCGTTTGCAAGAAGAATTAGTCACATTAATAATAAAGACTGAATCGATGAAAAAATTGTGCACATATTTCACCTCTCTAGAAGCAGCAACCAATGCTAATTGCAACTGATGTGCTAAGCAATGAACATAGTAGCCATAAGGACAATCATTTAAAAATAATCGATCTTTCCGTTTCTTTCTTCTAGGTGCGCATGTTTTTCATTAGTTTGGTCTGGGCGGTGGGCTGGGATTAGATTTTGGGGTGAGTTAATGGGGAATAAATTTTGGAGTGAGTTGATATAATATTACTTGTAAAATTTCTATTTCTTTGACTCTTAAACAATTGGGTTTCTGCGAGTGGGCTATGCTTTGGGGGAGAAAATATTTTTTGGGGGGGTTCAAAATTTTTCTTGGAGGGGCGAGAATTAAATGTTGGGGGGTAAAAATAAAAATTTTGTGTATATATATACTAAAAAAAAATTGTTGGGGGGCGGCAACCCCCTGGGTCTGTACTACGGTCTGCCCCTGGAAATGAGGCACTTATTTTAATACGGAAGGAGTAACTTATACCAACTAATAATTTGTAAGACTATTAACTTAGATATGTTAATATTCGTATGTCATTGTTTCTATTCACTTACTTTTTATAGAAATATCAAACTTATTTATCTACAATGATTACTAGTGATGTAATAAAAAAAATATATATACATTTGTTCATTTTAAAAAAATTACTAATTTAAGTAATCTGTGTACACACATTAATAGTACTAATAGTATCTAAATATAAATAATAATGAGTATTTAATTACTAACCTTTAAACAAATAATGGAGAAGGTGTTGGCTCTTCTTGTTCCGTCAGTTGGTTTGAAGGTTTGGGAAATGCAACTCTTTTTCGTCTGTTAATTTATGTGGGGAAGGATTATTTATACAAGAGTTTTATCCGGAAGAAATATCACCAGTCAATCAAAATGTCCGAAAATTATCATCCAATAAAGTTTGTGACGCCGACTGAAATCGGGTTTGTCAGATCCGAAACATATTAAAGTTTTTGACGCGCACTTGATTTCAGACGCGTCAGGTATGAATATGTTCTGTCAGATAATACGCTCCACTACTCTTTAAATTCGGAGTACTCCATTCTACCCTTCAGAAATGCTATTGGTACCCCCAAAATGGGGTACCTCATTCTTACCCCGGTCTATTGTGCGGCCATAAACGAGGCAACACATTTAAGTGGTCCCTACTTAAATGTGTTGCCTCGTTTATGGCCGCACAATAGGCCGGGGTAAGAATGGGGTACCCATTTTGGGGGTACCAATAGGATTTCTCTTCTACCCTTTTTGTAAAAAGAATGAATCTACGCTCTTTGGAAACACCTGCTCGAAATCTATCCTGTTTCGTCATTCTCTTGACTTGATTTCGGACATGTTATGTCCGAAAATGTTCTGTCAATTAATACGCTCACTACTCTTTAAATTTTGTCCTCCGTTCCACCCCCTTTGTAAAAAAAAATGAATCTATGCTATTTGGAAACACCTGCTCGAAATCTACCCTGTTTCGTCATTCTCTCGACCTGATTTCGACCGTGTCAAGCCCGAATATGTTCTGTCAGCTAATATGCTCCACTACTCTTTAAATTCAGAGTAGTGTCCTCCGCTCTACCCTTTTTTATCAAAAAATTAAAAATGAATCTATGCTATTTGGAAACACCTGCTCGAAATCTACCATGTTTTGTCTTCTCTCGACCTGATTTCGTACGTGTCAGGTCCAATTTTGTTCTATCAGTTAATACGCTCCACTATTCTTTAAAATCACAGCAATGTCCACCGTTCTATCCTTTTTTGTCAAAGAAAAAAAATGAACCTACGCTATTTGGAAACACTCAAAATTATGGAGTACTACCTCTGTCCCCAGTGGCGGAACCAGGATTTGTGGCTCGCAGGGGCACAATAACAAAGAAACTATATACTACTCTAAAAAAATCATATGCATCATGAATAAAGCAATAAAAAAACTATAAAAGTAACTGTTTAAACAGTACCTTAATTTTGATTAGAACATGACGCGTCAACCGAAGGAGAATCATTGAGAGGCGGCAATCTTTGTCTTCGAGGTGCCATACTTTGAAATCGCCTCATGACTTCATTATCAATTTTAACAAATATATCTTTTTCAATGTAGCACACCAAGCAATCTGTCAAGTATTCTTCTCCAATCTTGAAAGTTGAACCAAACTTATGTCTTGAAAGTTGAACCAAACTTCAAAATGAATGTCTAGTTGGTCAATCTTACAAATGAAGCACCGTGGTTCTAATATACAATACAAATATACAATTTACAAAGCAATGAAGCATAAATCATTCATCATTCATCAACAATTCTAATATACAATACAAATATACAATTTACAAAGCAATGAAGCATAAATCATTCATCATTCATCAACAATTAAAATATACCGTCAAAAGAAAAGATAAATTAAAACATACTGGCAAGGCGGCAACTCGGGAACTGGGAAGAACGAGGACAGTCACTCAGTCTCCATCGACCATCGGGACTTGGGCAGTTGGGCGTTGGCCGTCGCTGGGAGTTCCTCCGGGCTTCAGTCGCTCACTCGCTTGAGAGTTGAGTAGGTTCAGTCGCTTCTTGCTTGACAGATGCAGGGTTGCTGCTGACTTGAGTGGACTGCAGAACAAACTCAAAGGGAAAGGGGGGATTGGGCTGTTGAGGCTTTGAGGATTTGGGCTCCTGGGAAGTGGGAAATAGGGAATACATTGGGCCAGGCAGAAGTGGGAACTGGGAAAGGGGGAATTGGGCTGCAGCTTGCAGGGGAACTACTTAATAAAAATTTATATATATATATATATATATATATATATATATATATATATATAAATCATTACAGGGGGCAGGGCACCCCCTAGCCCTAGGGTAGTTCCGCCCCTGTCTGTCCCATTTATATTGGGACGGAAGAGGGTGACACGGTTATTAAGAAAAGTGAGTTTGTGTGGTTGGTATTAATTGATAAAGTAAGAATAAAGTAAGAATGATTTAGAGCCACACAAACTTTGTCAAATATGGTATGAAATAATTTAAGTGGGACTTTCCGAAAAGGTAAAACATGACAATATAAATGGGACGGAAGGAGTAGTTTTTTTTAGGTATGCTGGGCCCGTATCTGCGCCCAGTAATGTATCATTGTGCGAACCGGATTCGTCTACAGTTACTGTTGTAATCGGGCTGATTGGGCGTATCCGGGTTCACTTGGGCGGGTGGTTGCAGGGTCCGATTTCTACAACACAGACCAAACACAGTCAGGTCAGAGCGCAGTGGAGGAGAACTGAGAGAATTGGAAGTTCAAAACCCTTATAGAAGCAAATCAGGCAGATCCAAAAAGGCAGAGAGATCCGATACTATGGATTTCTCGGCTCAACAGCAACAACAATACCAGTCTTGGCAATTGCAATCTCAATCGTATGATCCATACACCTACCACTATCATCATCCTCATCAACCCTATTATTACCAACAACCCAATGCCCATCTCCAGCACCAACAACAGCACGGCCAGCCGATTCATCCGCCCGGAGTTCCGGATCCGTCTTCCACGGGCTTGCCTGTGCAGAGTCAGGAGAGCGCGTATCAGCATCCTGCGCACCAGCTAAGCACGGGTCCCTCTGCGGCGGCGGCGGCGACAGCGACGACGATGACCTATCTGACTCCGGGTTTGCAGCAAGGTCACCAATGGTATTCACAGCCCGATGCGTATGCGCCTCTTGTTGGTGGTCCCGGTTTGGCCCTTGGACACGGCTCGCAACCTTATATGATACATCCTTCCGTAAGTTTGAAGTCTTTGGTTTTCATTCACCAATTCTGTTTTTTTCCCTGAATCTGTGTTATTTTTAGGGCTTGATATGAAAAGCGTACACCTTCGCTTCACTGTGCCGTGTTTGAGTTTTACATCTGCATATATAATGTCTCATTTGACATTTCTTGCATGCTTGATAGGTAACAAGTTTTAATTGTGATCAGTTAAATTGTTTTTCTATTTTTCTTTCTGGTCTGGGTTGATCCAGATATGCAGAATAGAACAGTAGAAAATATCACATAGAAACTTTGCAATTGAAGTGGCAGAAGAAGATTTTTAACTAGTTCGTTTGGAAGATAATTGGGGAAAGCCTCTAACTCTCTTTAATGGGGGAATTTGGATTTTGGATGATCATTTTTGTTTAATTTATAAAAGAGAACTTTCAGTTTCTACTTATCAAGTTCCTTTATTCATTTACCTTAATAGTTTTTTTTTCTGAATGAACTATCTTGAGACCTATCTATCCAGCAGGCCGCTTCCCAAGCTCCTCGTAAGTTTGGTAATAGACGGGGAGGGACTCCATTTCGAGGTGGGCGTCAAGGGAAACCTTCAAGAGGAAGGGGAAGTAGTCAGGGAAGAGGTGGTTCTACACCATCATCCTCCAACACGGAAGCTTCAGCTGTCAATAACCAGCAACCAAAAGTTGCTGCTAGGTGTGATGTATGCAATGCTGATTGCACAAGTCTGGATGTTCTTGAACAACACAAGCTCGGAAAGCGGCATCTGAAGAACATGAAAAAGTTGGATCCATTGAAGAACACATTTGTTAGTGAAGTACAGAATGGGAAGAGCGTTGCTGCTAATGATTTAGTAGTAGGGAGTTTACCTTCTCAAAATGTTGAATCCCAAGCTGCACTTGAAAGCACAGATAAAAAAGAAGGTGAACCGGAAAAACCTGTCGTACTACCTATTGAGGCGGCCAAAGTGAATGATCTGAGGCGTGGTTCAAAACGTGCGATAAGGGGTGGTGGTCGTGGTGGGAAGCGGGTGAGAATTTCTGGGAGGCCAGAAAGGGGACCTCACAAACCCAAAGTTGTAATTCCTTTGGTATGTGATTTGTGTAACGTCAAGTGTGACACACAGGAAGTTCTAGACCGTCACCTTGCTGGTAAAAAGCACATTTCCAAGCGCAAGCACTTTGAAGCTCACCAAGCTATGTATGGACCCCAGGAGCTTCAAGTTCTGTACCCGCCTAATCCCGTTACACAAACCCTACTCCAGTCACAACAACAGCAACAACCACAACAGCCCATCTCTGTGCCCCCTCAAACACCTTCAGAACAACCTTCAGCAGCAATAGCAGCAGCTTCCTCATTGCCTTCTCAAACTCAAACTACTGTACCCTAAGCGTCATGTGTTGTTTTTATTTTTACCAAACCATCAATTTTTCTTTCTAGTTTTCAGCTTTTATCACAAAGGTTAACAGTGTGTGGAGATCCTGAAGAAGTGGTTCAAACCCTGAGAAGATGAATCATGAAGGCCAGGTTTATGCATAATGGACGTTTCAATCAGTAGTTTGGTGGAAGCAGCTGTGGAAGAGAATTGCATGCTATTTCTCGGGGAATATGGAAAGGCATCTATCTAGTTACAAATTCCTATGGATATATTTATTTGCAGATGTCCTATATATCCCAAGAGAGAAGATATCATCCCGGCAACAGGTGAAGGATAAATTATGTAAGAAGAATATGCTTATTTGCATCCACTGGCATGACTTTTCTTTAGTAAATTGTTATGCCGAAAACAAATAGTGCTGGCTTAATCTCTCGGTGATTTAGATGTATTTGTTGGCTACTTCTGTTGCCAGATTTCTTTGTTTTGCAGTTTCTCGACCATTTGTATTCATGTAGACATATCTTCCTGCATGTAAAATCATCAGCTTTATAAAAAAAACAACTTAGCTAGAGCTAAATTTCCAACACCCCCTTGCTTCAGTAGTTGCTAGTACAGTGCCTGATCATCTATTTTGAATGATGTGGTGCTTAAAAAAATGTGGAAAGAGGTGACTTATATAGTTGTCTAGTAGACGTTAGATGATTGGCTGTGGGGTTCAATTTTTTTTTAACCATTGTAATATTCTCATCTTGGGTTAGTTCACGTAAAATACCTTTGTTCCCATTTGGCCTCTAACGTTAGTACGTTGTTAATAAGATGTTAATAAGATGTTGAGACCGGTGATAGCTGTGATGGAAATCATGGAATGTCACCCTAACCCATCACCTATAGATAATGTCTCATTGGCTTTTTGGGTTCAAATAATCTTAGTGTATGAGCTATGTATTAGGAGTAGTGCTGGACTCGGGCCGGGCGGCCCGGCCCGGAACCGGCCCGGTTACTGTTTGGCCCGGCCCGGCCCGGGGCCCGGAGGGTCCACCGGTTCGGTTCGGCCCGGCCCGGCTGCTGGGCGGTTCGGGCTCGGGCCTAGGTTTTGGTGAACCGGCCCGGCCGGTTCGGGCCCGGTCCGGGCCGGATTTTATTTTTTTTTTTTGAAATTTTTTTAAGTTTTAGGTTGGATTAGGTATTTTGGGCCATTTGAGGTGGTTTGGGATGGTTTGGGGTTGAGGGGGAGGGGTAGGGGATTAAATAGGAGAACAAAAAAAAAAAATTAATTGGGCCGGCCCGGCCCGGCCCGGCCCGGCCTGGTTTGGCCTGGAACCGGGACCGGAACCGGCCACCGGCGGTTCGGGCTCGGGCCTCCCTTTCCTGGCCCGAGGCCCGGCCGGGCCCAGGCCCGAACCGGGCCCGAACCGGCCCGAGTCCAGCACTAATTAGGAGTCCATTACTTTCTATGTACTAAATCCGCAAATTTCACATGAGCTTTGAAGATATATGATTTCATTTTCTATAATTCATTTATAATTGTTCTTAAAAGCGTTTTCGTTTTTTCTTGAAATCTTTGTCAATTGAAGATTGAATTTAGTTTCTGTTATCTTTAAATGTGTGTTTCTACCTTATTTAAATGAGTTTGCACGTTTAGCGATAAGGTAGAAATCAACTGGGCACAATTTTTTTTAAATTAACAGATTTTAGTGCGAGACGGATCCTTCTAAAACGATGGATGCTGTTCAGAATTACATATAAATGCGTTAGTTTTGTTCCTTCCTTCAAATGTTGAATACTCTTGTGTATTAATCAAAGTTTGTTTAGTTTTATGACATTTAATTTTGCATAATTGACATTTGAAATGAGATACTTTGAGCACTCCCGTTTCTCTATCTGCAATTCTGCAAACAAGTGTTTGTTATTCGTTTCCTCAATAATAATTGATATTGAAGCGAATAAAGGGGATGCAATGCAGCAATGACTATCATATGAAACAAAAAATTCAATGAACACAATAATATATCCAGCAATCTTCTGTGCGCAGCCACTGTACCAACCACACCCGAAACGGCATGCTTTCAGCCATGCCCAATGGCTCACATGATCAGCCATCTATCTCCATGGGGCGAGACGTGTATGCTCTAATTCAGAGCATATTGTCAGTGGTCACACACCATCATCAGATTCAACAATGAATGACAAAAAATTGCCATTTGCCAATAAACATTGGTCAGGCTTCCGTGAATGTTAAGCTAGGCTTTCAGTTCAACAACATTCACTTGGTGAATGGGGTTGCATGGTGAAGAGGGTTATCAAGTTAGTGTTTCAGCGAGCTTGTCCCGGGCTTTCACTGAGAGTGGTGGTAATGGTTGGTGTATGTCTCCAGGTTTGCAGCATTGGCAATGATCGTCTAGGGTGAGGCTAGGGTCAACGGGTTTTGGACAATTACAACAATGAGTAAGGTGGTGTTATTGTGCTTGGGTGGTGGGAGAAAGGATTGTGGCAATGTCACTAGATTTTAATGTGAGAGCAGGGGCGTATCCAGGAATCCGAGATGCCTTGGGCTGAATAAAAATTATACTAGGTTTAAACATTAGCGGAGTGGGCTGAATATGAAAAATGAAAAAATTTACACTAAAAAATTGCAAAAAAAACATAAGTTACACCGGGCTTTAGTCACCATAGTCTGTACATAGATCCTCCCCTCTGTTGGAGGAAAGATGTCACTATCAGGGACGTGTTATAAGTGTTACTGGATTACGTAGTAAGTTATAGGACTAGATTTTTTGGGCCTCAATTGATAATCTAAGACTCTGAGTGGTTATAGGGTATGCTGTGTCAAAAACAAGGTTTTGTATCATAATCACTATTGATGGAAAAGGCGACTTAATAGATTTGTTTTATTATTAATAAAAATTAATCCATATACTACGTAATATATTTATGTAACACGAATACATGACACGTAGTCACTTTTATGGAATAATAATTATAACGAGTCATATTTTTATTTAATGTTTTCCTTTAGAAATATTCATATGAAAAACCTTTTAACATGATACTGAAACTCATTAACTGAACTCAGCAATTTTTAAATGGCATTGAGCCATCACTCTATGAGACGAGTAATACCATTAATGACTCATACAGGTTCTTGCAAATATTGACCACCATGGCACCATCATGCCAATATGCCATACTCCCATCATTTATCACCACCCTGCCATCAACGGACAGTCACCACTCACCACTAAAGCCAAGCATCATTAGCACCGCTGCCTCCGATCATCACCTTTACCGCTTACAACTCTTAGCAATCACTGTCGTCCCTTCACCACCGGATTTCATGCCAACCACCGTTGATGAGCACTATGACCAACGGAAACCCCCCACCGCCATTATGACATTAGAAATCTATGCGATAACCGCATTTTCGGGACTAGCAGAAAATAGAGAAATTGGAAACTCGAGATTTTGAGAATGCGAAACAACAACCAATAATATTGATTGTTTATTCAGCAAACAAGTAAACCTTCTTGATTAATTTCACACTTCTTGTCAATCGATCAGATCGAGAAGTGTAATATTGTAGAAGTTTACAATCCCATTATACTCATCTGGTTTACTATATAGCTGAAGATGATAAATGTTTATATAATGTAATCTCCAACATCCCCAACCTACATGTCCATCTTAATGCTGCTTTTGTATTCTATATGATGGACAAAATGAAAGGAAAATGAGCATATCTTCTGTAAACATTGAACGAAGACGTTGCGTCCCGAGTCAGCACCTATGCTGATCGATTAACAACCACCACATCTGAGTAACAAATCGGGCATGCCTGTTACATTATGGTGTAACAGTTAGCAATATGGTAAATGACACACTATGTTACAAAATGTTTTAAGGGTAGTTGGAGTGTGATTAATTACTTTATTTATGCTCAACCACTTCCTGCCACAACCAGTATGATACACATGTTTGCATGGAAGATTGATTTGTTTTTCACCTCGTTTGTATTCCATCTGGCAGATTACACACCTGTACATAAAGAAAAAACATGTTCAATAGAACATAAATCATGATTACATAAATGGTAACTGCATACACTGCAATCGCTACCTCCTAAGTCTCGATATGTATGCGTAGGTGACATGAAATTTAGTAATAGTTGATTGCTTAAAAGGAAATGGATAAGTGCATGTGCGAGTTCTTCATGTTTCAGGTCATATAGCAAATGGTTTACAAATCACTGAGTTTTTTTATAATTTTATAAATCTCAATGTAATAAAGAAATTTGTAAGAGTTCCCTTTGAAGGGGTCAAGGGGAGCCTTGGCGCACCGGTTAAAGTGTTTCCATGTGACCAAGAGGTCACGGGTTCTTGGGAGCGGTCTCTTGTCAAAATTTGACAGGGGAAAGCTTGCCCCTTATACACCCTTGGGGTGGAACCCTTCTTCGGACCCTCACCTTGCGGGGATGCCTTCTAGCGCCGGGCTACCCCCATTCCTTTGAAACTTGAAGCATCTTACCTCTCCTTTCTTGATCTCTTCCTTGAAAAAAAGCCACATTTGAACTTTGTGACTGGAAGCAAAGAGATCAGTTCTTGAGAAAGGCCTCTGGTTTGTGTCCCAACTGTCTCTCCCAATTCCAGTAGTTCCTAGAAACCAACCAAAACAGGAAAGTCTAGGAGTTTAGATTCATGTTGTTCGTTTTCCTTCATACAACCCAAACCATGTCTGATGTCTTAGCCTGACTGCATTATTGGTCTAGTGGGCTGTATATATTTTCCAAGTGTTTTTATTCATATCTTGAAAGCCAGAAATATCTTGACCACACCTAATATAGTTAGCTTGTATTCAGATATTTTATTTTCTGCTTTCTCTAATTACAAAACCCAGGCCAGGGTCAACCTGAAGTCCCAAATCATTTAGTCCTACTTAGTATTTAACAAAATAACAGAAGATGACTTAAATAAATGGAGATGAAAATGATTGGGTTTTTTCAGTGGACTTGGATCTTGGAAGAACGAGAGTTATGATAAATCATAACCCCCCTTGGCTAGCTAACTCGTCCCCCCACCCCCCATCCACAAACACACACTATGAAAGACAGAAAATAGTTATTGTCTCAACAAGATAATACTCATTAGTCATTACTTATCTGGATAAAAATTAGCATAATTAATAATGATGGAAATTAACAGGTTAGATGACGAACCTCATAGGTCATGTTGTCAGGATCAATATTATCTTGCCACACAACCTGCATCAGTTCAGAAAGAGGAAGAATTACAATTTTGTTTTTTCATTAAAAGGATGCTCCAAGCCTCCACCCAATGGTATTAAAGTGTTTGATATGCATACAAAAGCAGAAAGGCATGCATCCTTGGACCATAAAACATCATTATACCTCTTCATCATCACAAGTGTTCTGATAACCACTAGAACCTGAAAGATTGCAGTAGAAAACGTAATCAATATTGCAACTATCTTATTTATGAACAGGCATAGAATAGTGTGAAGACAATATAAGTACAAAGATACAACCAACTCGCTTATGCCAGTTAAAAAATGATACTACGTATTACGGAGTACTTC